CCTTAGGGTTTTCATTGGGATTTAGGGAGGAAACCCTAAAACTCCAAACTAAACCCAAATCCTAAACCCTAAAAGTAAATCCTAAACCCTAACAGCAAATCCTAAACCCTAAGAGGGAATCCTAAACCCTAAGAGGGAATCCTAAACCATAAGAGTAACCCTAAACGCCAAACTGCTTCTGAGGCCGTCGCAATGCTTTGTTAAGCAGTCGGTTCTCTTGTCCGCTCCGATTGACTCACAGAGCCAATCCTTTTCCCAAGTGGGAACCCCGAAACCCTAAACCTAAACCCACCTTCAAGAAGTTGTCGCAGTCAATGTCATTCTGGTAGACGTTCACCTGGCGGGAGCTAAGTCGCTCTTTTCGGGGCAAGGGTTAGGGTCATATAGGGACATACTTAGCCCTCCCGGCACTGCTTTAGCTCAGCCTGCCTTTTGCTTTCTGGGTGTTTTTTGCTTCGGACACCGTGCCCTGTGTGGCCTGTTCATGGTGTCAAACGGCTTCTACTTGACCCACAGCTCATCTGGGACAGGAAGGGACGCTTCATCCCATGTCGTCATTGGGTCGGCACTCATCGCACTGATCTCGCGCTCGATGGTGTCCACTGTCGCACCCTGTTTGGCGAAGCGCTCTGCGGTTGCCTGAATCATGTCCTGACGAACCTCTTGGAGGTACTCCCGAGGCCTTCCTCGTTCAGTCATGCTTTCAAGGTTGCCTACCAGGCCGTTGCACTCGACGATGACTTCTGCAAGTTCATGTCCCACCAAGTTGAACGCGATGCTGCTTGGCTTTCGAAGCTCCTCCTATCCATGACGGGATAAGACCAACAGAGAATACCCACAAACCAACACATGCCCAAGCCCAGGGACAAAACAACCTACCTACCAGTGCCCAAGCTGTTTATGAGCTTTCTCTCCAGTCCTCGGTGCCAAATCTGTTGCCGCCGCCTCCAGGCCATACCTGGTCGATGCTCATGCCATCACCGAGCGGCGTGGGGATCTGCACGTGTCTTTTGGTGTGTCCGTGCCACATGCTCCTCTGGTAATTCGGCAGAAAGTGCATCTGGACAAAGTCGGCGAAGATGGGTCGGTTGTAAGCGATGCCACCTGTATTTACTAATATCGGCACGATGTAGTGCTTCTCATTCGCAGTTAAAGTCCGGAGCTGCCAATGCTTGCCATTGAAGAAATGAATTTTGCTGGCGTAGAATGCCTTGGTCTCCTTCAAGTACAGCTCGTTCAGGGGCGGGCGAAGGCTGTGGTTCAAGAAAAGAACATCCAAGCTAGTCTCGGTCATGGGCATCTCAGGAACCTGCACGACCTTCCGGCTCAGGTTGAGCCTCACGCGGTGGGCAGCCATCTTCTGAAGTCTTGCGGGAGCATCATGACTGGCTACGCACTGCTTGTTTTCCTCTCTGTCAATCCAAAAAGGTTTCGGACACAAGCTGCATGATGCGGCATCAAGAGGCAGGAGAGCAATCGCATCACACAGCATCTGGATGCGCCGACAAGCAGAAAACATGCAGGACAGACCTTGATCAGCGTCCCACCATTGGCGCCGACAGGGGCAGAACATGACAGACCCCACTACCCCATACTATGCCCCATAAATTGAATAAACCTGACCTTGCCCATTTCGGGTGTTACATCACCTGATAAATAGGATAAGAAAGAGTATTTTACAGATAATGAGCTAGTAGTTGTGATTTGTATGGTATATTAGGATATTTTCTATGTGGTAAAATGTTTTGGGATAAAATGATCACTATTTGGTTGGCGGTGATGTAACTACCCAAACTGGGCAAGGCTATCCCTGACTCTAATACCAAAAGCCTCCTTGGATGAAGATTCGTTGAATCAACAACCGGCCACCCGGTCACAACGCAAGCGAAATCTGTGGTCCGACAGCCTGAAAAAGATTGGCTGAGCGGCCCTCCTCGAAGGCGCTGGTCAGCGCCTCGAACCTGGGCTTCTGGAGTCGCCTCTCTTGGCCTAGCTCTCTTAGCCAAGGTCATGGAGTCTCACCCTTCGAGTGCCAAGGCTCTCTGACAAGAAATCTGGCGAGCGCTTGTCGGGAGGTGTGGCCTAAGAGTGTGCTTCTGGTATGTGGCTCGCCCCGCTGCGCGCCGCAACTAGCCTTCGTCGGCTCCTCGATGGTCTTCCCGGGCAAACCCTGTAGACGATAATTCAGATCCTCAGTTGCTCCTGTTTGTGTTCCAGACTCGTCGTGCCAGCGATGAGCCAAGTGACGCCCAAGACGATGAAAAGCGAGTGCTGGCTGTCCTCAACACATTTGCCGATCTGCGCCTGAGACGCACAGATGCATAGCTGTCATGCCCATGCCTCTCTATGCCTCTCTCAGCTCTGCGGCCATCTGAGGTTCCGGCAAACGTCGCATCTCGGACCTGCGCTTTTGTTCGAAGACACTAATCAGTCCCTCCTTGTCTTCACCCCTGTGGCTCTCCGCCGGCGCCGTGTCACTAGAAGCAGCGCACTTCCCGGCCTCGGTCTTGCCGTGGCCAGCCTGGCAAAGAAATTGCCAGGAAAACGCATCAGCAGGAGGGTGCTGGGCAGCGGAAACTGCCACCGGCCTCCAAGTGCGCGTTGGCAATGCAGAGGCTGATGCCCTGCCTGCACAAAAGGAACGACCGCCCTGCCCTGAGCCGACCCGTCTCCGCCTCGGGCACTCCACAGCGATGCAGCCTTTGGAGCAGACCTCGCTCGAAGAGAGACACTTCAGAATCATGAGCCATGCCATGCCATGCCATGCCAGGCCTTCTTGTCATCGAAAGTGAACGGCAATGACAGAACCTGTTTTGTCGCCGGAAGTGGAAGTGAGGGCTTCCAGAGCAGAACCAGCAGAGCCGGTTGCCTGGTTGCTCTGCGGAGCCCGCTCGAATACGAGCAGCGGCAGGTAAGAGTCGCAATGCACCGAGGCCAGGACCTGCCCGGAGCTCTGCACTCTCACTCGGCCGGGGAGGGGGGCAAATTTGGTGACGGCTCTTTCGACATTGCCTCCAAAGGTGCTTCTTCGTCATCCTCTGCACGGAGCACCTGTGCCGATCTGACTTCGCGTGTTCGGAGCCAGTCATTTCAGGATCCAGTCAAGAGCTTGGATTAAAAAGGGCCGGCGGGGAGGCAGGTCCACACGGATTGTCGTTCTGGCGCCTGACGAGCACGTGCACACGAAGACATCGTGGAAGCCATCAGGGGAATAAACTACGACGGGAAACAGCATCATGACTGATGCTGCTACTGCCGATGTCTCGCAGTAACGCGGAGGCTAGCTTAGGCTAGATACTTCGAGCATCGCGGTCGACGAGCTGGTTGCTGCTTGTGAAATATCAATATACACTCCAATTGAAACATGCATATATACATACATGTACATGTACATGTACATCTACATATTATCCCTATACGGGTAGATGTATACGTATACCTAGACTTTGTGAATGTACATGTTATCGGATACAGTTTATGTATGCATGTGTGCCTGCATGCACATGTACCTTCCTGTTGTATGCTGCCCTACGCGGGATATCGTTGCAGCCCAGGGCGCAGCAAGCCGCCGGGCAGTGCCGGTAGCTGTGCATCTTGCAGTAGGTAGCTCTTGGAAACGTTCGGTTCTGTCGATGTCTGTTCTGCTGACACGGCAGACCATGGGGCCGGCAATCATGATCTGATTTTAATGGGTCGTGTAAGTATCTCTCCACCCTCGTCACCTCGAGAACTCGGTCCCGGAGTGGCGCCAGATGATCCGGATGCAACTCCTGGACATCGGATCTTCGAGTGGAAGAGTGATCAGTACTCACTCAAAAATGATGGGGAACATCTCGAAAGTGCTGTTTGGGTCCTGGAAGGTACGTGTATGATCGAATCGAACCATATACTGCATCAGCATTGTGATTGGCATACCAGCAACCATTGAAGGACGTGAGACGACGAAATGATCCCAACTGCTCTCTGGGCATGAACGCTCACAGTCTCTCTGTCTCTATCTATCTCTTGCTCGAGGTTCCCAAGCGGACTCTTCTCATGCACTCCGACCCCCCTGTTCTCCATCCCTAGCATGCTGGAGTGGAGGCTGCGGTTTGCTGCTGGATTACCCTTCTCCCGCGCGAGCCATACAGCCTAAAACTCTACTCGAAGGTACTTCTCTTGTTCTTCTCCTTGGGGTGTGGGGTCGGGCCAAACCTCCACTAGGCACACTCACGTGTTGCTAGACGCTACCTCTAGGCCTCCAGGCTACTCTTCTTCAGCACAGTTGGGGGGTAATCAGTGCGCATGCCCCTGCACTTCTTGCACTCGAGACAGATACCCTTCAATCCAAAACTCACCCGCAGCCTGCGCACGCAAAGGCTTCAGCCACGCTCTGATCAACTGGAAGAGCACACTAGCCTCTCTCTCCCCCCCTCCTGCTTGCATCGCAGGACACCCTTTCGAGGCCGTCCTGAAGCCCCAGAGCCACTAAAGATGCCCGCGTCCCACGGCAAAGATCGGCCAGCCAGCGGAAGGCATCTCACAGAACGGACAAAGAGACGTAGGAGACGTAACGTAGAGACTTCTCACTTTGAGGAACTTCATGGAAAGGATTTTCCTAGCTTCCACAAAGAAAAGGTCCCCCCGGGCTTCGCCTGCACCCGGCAAAGCAGCGGTCTGCTTTTTGCAGCCCAGGTTCCTGGCTCCAAACTTGGTCTGAAAGTTGGTCTGAAGATATTGATGCGCTCGGGGGTCACTAGCGACATGTCTGTGGCTTTTCAGTGTGTCCGACTCGTTCGAGCATGCTGCAGTGCCGACTGTTTGATCTGCGCACGCCGTGGATCGTAAAGATTCCGTGTTTTACGTGGCAACGAGGCGGGTGGGGGGGCAGACTGCAGCTCAAGGAAGCACTAAGTCATTAACATTAGCCACAGTCCGGCTTGCTTCAGGTCATGTATGATCATTTCCACGGCACCAGGTGCAGGCGACGATCGTAACGGAAGCCATAGCTCAAAAAAGCAATGTGCCTTTTGGCCAGCCCTCGTGTTGTACATGGCACGTAGGCCAGTCTCCCAGACCAAAGAGGAGTTTGATGTTGTCTGACTGGTGCTTCAAAGCGTCTCTTAATATCCTGAATCCCATGTATGCTCTGGCCCAGCAGCGAAGTGAGCTCTCTCTGTAACCGAAGACTGCACTTTCAGAGCCGCTGCTGCACAGCACGGCCGTGCGGTGTGCCCTTCAGTAACCGATGCACTCGTTCCACACTTGCGAATTAACAGCACTGAGCACGGACATGCGCATAGCTTTTGGTGGTGAAGGCAGCCTGATCCTAAAAATGTGTCTGGCACATGGTTTCATGTCCAGATGTGGCCACGGTGACCAGCGTTGGAATATGGCTTTGGAATGGAAGGGCGAAGCTCAGAAATGTCTGAACGGGTACTCGACGGATCACTGGCATGCAGGGCCATTCGCAACTGCTGGCTGACCAGTGGTCTCTGAATCGGAATCAGGCAGAGGCTGGGGCTGAGTGGCTGAAAAGACAGATGAATGCTCCAGGAAAATCATCCGGAACCGTACAAACATGTGCCTGGCCCCAACCTCGTTGGGCTCTTGAGCGGCCGAACGCCGCCAGGCGTCCAAGCGCCCTCGAACCCTAGGAGCCGCCAAGGCCCTCCTTGCGCTCTCTGCAATGAAGCATCTAGGGTCTGCATGCATTTAGTGTTGATACGCGTGGCTTGCTTCAGTTTGGGCGTTGACCATGTTTGCGGGGCCAGCCGGTTGCCGACTGTTAAGCTCACTTTGGAGCCATGACAACACGCAAATCTTCGAGCATGGTGTCACGATCAGACCATTGGCCTGCCGGCGACACCACGATGACAGGTTCCGATTTCGCTCGGAAACTAAAACCGGCCGATCTCAGCTTCAGGAGACGACCCGACGATGGTGGCTAAGGGTGCCATGAAGCTCGTTTGTCCTACCCAGAGCCCGTACATTCCCTTGTTGCATGCGGACCGCACGGCACGTAATTGAAGCGTTTGGCAGCCTCTTTTCTGGAACGGAATACAGTAAGATCGCTTTTTGCGATCTTCTGGTGCGAGAGAAGCAGAGTCTAAGAGCAGCCTCCTTCTGCTATCTCAGAGGTTTGCCGCTCTTCGAACTCTCTCGAACCTGCTCTGATCTCACTTTGCCGTTGGAAGGCTTGGAGAACCTGAGAGGACGAGTGGTCTTCCCAGCCACAGTGCAGCCACCGCAGAGGGTGCGGGTGGTCAATTGCAGGGGGTCCAGTCTACATTACCACACCAGCAAATTGAAGACTGCATAACCGTTTGGTGCCGCTTCTTGCTGGGCCTCAGGTAAGCGTGTAGGCTCTTACTGGAAAGCCTAGAATAGCAAGCACAGCGTGCTTTGCATGTCTGTCTTGCTTGCTTTGGAGGGGTGGGCCCGCAGGCTGTGATGGAAAGACTTGCCTTGCTGCACCTCCGGCAGTAGCTAGCACTGTATTTCAGCTAGCCTGTGCGACCTTTGGACTACTGCCCGGAATCCAGGATACTATGTCGAGCGAACGCCGTGGCTGTCCAAGTTGCGGTCCATACCAGTAGGTGCATTCGACCTCATTTTCTTTGCCTCGGTGCTGTCGGGTAAAGGCCCGGATGCCATGACAGTCAGTGATGTCAGCGGCATCATCACGAAAAACCATTGACAGGCTGAGCAAAGTAAGGCCACAGCCGTGACAGTTCTTCGTCCACGACCCGGGCTTTGAGACTGTTGGTTGCGATCCTGGAACAAGCTGGTGCAAAATGCGTCTACCAAGTCACTCTGGCCACATCAAGCTGTGAATCCACTAGCTCGCCCTGACTTCGAACAGCACACAGCACAATGCTAAAGAGCAATCGATGTGCTGTGACCGTGCTGTGGCACCAAGGCGGTTATGCGGTTATGCTTCTCTGCTGCAAGGGTCTTCAATCCACGATCCCATGAACTAAGTCGGGCCGAATCACGAAGTTAGCATGCCCTTTGCGGCGTTCCAGCTTCGATCGTCGCAGCCTCATGAGCAGGCGCGAAGGCTTCGAAAAGACGCGGCTCTGAGGAGGAAACCCCTGCAGCTCGATCTCGAAGACCAGGACCACGTCCCTCCCTGTCAGAGAGCCGCGGAGCGGCGCGGAGCGGCGGAGCGGCATCCGACAACGCAAGGAAGAGTCGGTGCCTCGGGTCCCCGGTCCCTCGAGAGGCAGTCGAACCTGCAAGCCGGGCTTCAGAGGCAAAGCCAAGGATGCAGCTTCAAAACAACTGCGCCATGTCTGCTCAAAATTCGACGGTCGGAAGCTGCCTGAAGGATGTTGTCGTCTTGCTCTTCGACCTGTCGCGGCAGGCCACATGTGCTACGAGAGACGGCGCGAAAAGAGCAGTTGCAGTCGGAAGGAGGAGGAGCCAGCACGTCACGGCCTGCTTGGACTGGGAATACGCCAAGAACCCCAACACAAGCTTTGCCATGACAGAACCTTCCTGGATGAAAAAAAGCCCAGGTCCAATTCGGACCAGTTTGATCGGGCACGACCTGGTTGTGACGTTCACCGATTGGGTATTCAGGGCTGGGTATTCGATGGTGCTGAGGACTTCGGTAGCACCGTCACTTGCGCCCACGCGTTCGAGGTCACTTGCGCCCACGCGCTTGCGGTCACTTGCTCCCACGTGCTCGGTCACTTGTGCCCACACCCCCCCCACAACGGGTGAGATCTCACAGATGGGGGAAGGGGGGGGAAGGGGGGGGAAGGGGGGGGAAGG